TGAGTAATAAATGGCACTACAAGGACTTGAAGCACTGGGTCGGCCTCCGCGGCTCTACTTTGTTTTGCTTTTTTCGTCTCTGTGGAGGTAATGATGTGATTGATTTTATACACCTTTGAGTATAAATGTTGAGAATCCCTTAGTGCCACGCATGCTATACAAAAGCTGAGACCTGAAACATTTATGTGCTCTATTCCCCTGCTGCTATTAAGGTGAGAGGGAAATAAATTGGAGAACAGCATATTGGGAGAGCAGACCTTTTTATTCTTTCTCCTGTTTTAGGTCATATTATACCCACAGGCCATAACTGATGCATTCACAGAATCCCCCGGAGAGCCAGCCATTCCAACAAAAAATATGCACAATTCCAGCACAAAACCCAGCCATGTGGAACCATCTATTTACAGTTATATGCTATTAAATACCTCTTGGCTGATGAACAGTCAGGATGTCCCACAGACTTTGTCTCCTTGGTCTAAACTGAGGCAGCAGACTATGCTAAAAACTTGCTGCCCCAGCCAGATAATGATGCAGGCTCTTACTATGAGGTGTTTTTATTATTGTACAGCTGATTATTTTTACTAAGTAGGTTTGCTGTAATTACTGACAGCTACATATCAACATTTTACATTTTATTACTGCTTACTGGCAAAAAATTGGAATCTCTGTCTCTGAGCATGCTTTAAGTTTATAGGTGGCTACGGTAACACATCTTAATAACCTCAACAACCTGGTCTGTGCAGAAATATACACTCACCAGCCACTATATTAGGTACACCTGTTGAATTGATAATCAGCAAATCAGGTGGCAGCAACTAAATGCAATTATGCATGTAGACATGGTCAAGATGACCTGCTGAAGTTCAAACAGAGCATCACTGTGTACATACATCTACTGATGCCTCTGGACACATCATCAGTGATGTTCCTGGGATCTTAGGGCGTTTCGGGTCTCTCAACATCATACGCCCTCCTCCAGGTGACCCAGCCGGGGCTGATCAGACCCCAGCTTGTGTCCAGATGGCTAGCTAGCTACTATGACTCCGTGGCTCTCCTCTTTTGAGCCACAGCCATCTTGAGGCTCTCTCTGCTGCATCGGTGGTACTGCAGATGGCTCTCCTCTTTCTCTCTCCCTCAATGCCTAAAATACTGAAGGCTCTGGCCAAGGAACGGGCTGCAAATCCTCTGCATCCAACCTCCACAGGGAGACACCTCGCTCTCTGCCCAGCCTGCTGACAGTCGCTGACCAGTCCTGCATACTTGGAGAGCTTCCTCTCAAAGGCTGAATGAGGAAGAAAGGTGATTTAAGTGACTTTGAACGTGGCAGGGTTGTTGGTGCCAGACAGGCTGGTGTCAGTATTTCAGAAACTGCTGATCTACTGGGATTTTCACACAAACCATCTTTAGGGTTTACAGAGGATGGTCCGAAAAAGAATGACCAGGCTGGTTCAAGACAGTAGAACGGCAACAGTAACTAAAATAACCACTGGTTACAACCAAGGTCTGCAGAAGACCATCTCTGAACCAACCACACGTTGAACCTTGAACCAGATGGGCTGCAGCAGCATTAGACCACACCAGGTGCCACTCCTGTCATCTTACAACAGGAAACTGAGGCTACAATTCACACAGGCTCACCAAAAATTGACAATAGAAACGTTGCCTGGTCTGATGAGCCTCGATTTCTGTTGCCACATTCATATGTCAGGGTCAGAATTTGGTGTAAACAACAAGAAAGCAAGGATCCATCCTGCCTTGTATCAACGGTTCAGGCTGGTGGTGGTGGTGTAATAGTGTGGGGGAAATTTTCTTGGCACACTTTGGGCCCCTTAGTACCAACTGAGCATGGTTTAAACACCACAGCCTGCCTGAGTATTGTTGCTGACCGTGTCCATCCCTTTATGACTACAGTGTACCCATCTTCTGATGGCTACTTCCAACAGGATAACACACCATGTCACAAAGCTCGAATCATCTCAAACTGGTTTCTTGAACATGACAATGAGTTCACTGTACTCCAATGGCCTCCACAGTCACCAGATCTCAGTCCTATAGAGCACCTTTAGTATGTGGTGACAAATCTGCAGCAACTGTGTGATGCTATCATGTCAATATGGACCACAATCTGTGAGGAATGTCTCCAGCACCTATCTATGCCACGACGGCAGTTCTGGAGGCAAAAGGGGGTCCAGCCCGTACTAGCAGGGTGTGCTTAACAAAGTGGCAGATGAGTGTACATACTCATACTCTGCTTAGGGATTTTGGTGACATTGTGCACAGTAAGTACAGAACATACCACTGACATATCTCTACTTTGCTTTATCTGTCTATCTTCCTCAGTACATGTATTTAATTTACCAAGTACATTTTCAACAAGGCACACATCCCTACTGCATCTGTAGGTTAATGTATACACTGGTGCTTTCACCTTTACCGAGGAAAAAGATTTGCGTGATCAGACAGAAGAATTGGGTCTCTGCACTTCTTGTAGGAGGTAATAGCTGCAAAATATTAGTGGGTCAATAGAGCACACATTCAGAGAGCTGTGCACATTGCATGAGGTTAAAAAAGGCCTTAACTGAGATATGTTAACCACAAGTGTTCAAGAGGTTTTGCAGGCATATATATCCCCACTGTGATATTGTACCTCCCATCAAGTGTAAACATGTAGATACTGATAGCATTTGGCACAGTCACTTCAACTTCATGCAGAAAAAAAGGGTCTGACTTCCTATGTCCGTGTATACAGAATGCAGACATTCAAGGCGTTTCCTCTGCTCCTTTCTCCTCACTGGAGGGGAGTACAAAAGTTGACCTTACTAACTGGTTTAAGATAAAACCAACAAAGCATAGGAATCAGGAATGTGCAGACCCATATGCACGAATAAAGCTGACAGGCTCATGCGAGACCATAACTCAACCCAGTCAGTGCTCGGTGAAGGGGGAGAAAACTACACTGTTGTATTTGTACAGATGGGAGGGCTGTGTCTTCTTTGGCAGAGGATGATAAGATGGTGGGCAGGAAAAACACAGGCTGCAACAAACCTAACCCTTTAGCTTCTAATTTGGTGCACAGCCTCCACTTCTGAGCAATCACGGTTGCTACGGGCTGCCAGACACCTGCATGGTCTCGATGTGATGACACTTGTACCTGCACGGCTCTCATACTTGACTTCAAAGAGCCTGGAGCTGGGGCCATCCTGCCTACTGCCAGCGCTCTGTTTGTATCAGCACTCACAGTCTCTGAAGACTCACATTCACTTTTGAGAAGATTGACACCTTTGCTTTGTCACACTGCCTCCGCAAAGCCATTACAATCAACAAGGTTGAGGGATTCATTCCATATTCCCCGAGAACAATCAACAGTCTGGTACTAATCATTGAGTGCATTCACTTATCAACTCCACCAGGTGGAGCCAGAAATACCATGAGAGTCTTAAAAAGCCTTTTAGACATGGGATCTGGAACACTGGTGGCTTTCNTTGAACATGACAATGAGTTCACTGTACTCCAATGGCCTCCACAGTCACCAGATCTCAGTCCTATAGAGCACCTTTAGTATGTGGTGACAAATCTGCAGCAACTGTGTGATGCTATCATGTCAATATGGACCACAATCTGTGAGGAATGTCTCCAGCACCTATCTATGCCACGACGGCAGTTCTGGAGGCAAAAGGGGGTCCAGCCCGTACTAGCAGGGTGTGCTTAACAAAGTGGCAGATGAGTGTACATACTCATACTCTGCTTAGGGATTTTGGTAACATTGTGCACAGTAAGTACAGAACATACCACTGACATATCTCTACATTGCTTTATCTGTCTATCTTCCTCAGTACATGTATTTAATTTACCAAGTACATTTTCAACAAGGCACACATCCCTACTGCATCTGTAGGTTAATGTATACACTGGTGATTTCACCTTTACCAAGGAAAAAGATTTGCGTGATCAGACAGAAGAATTGGGTCTCTGCACTTCTTGTAGGAGGTAATAGCTGCAAAATATTAGTGGGTCAATAGAGCACACATTCAGAGAGCTGTGCACATTGCATGAGGTTAAAAAAGGCCTTAACTGAGATATGTTAACCACAAGTGTTCAAGAGGTTTTGCAGGCATATATATCCCCACTGTGATATTGTACCTCCCATCAAGTGTAAACATGTAGATACTGATAGCATTTGGCACAGTCACTTCAACTTCATGCAGAAAAAAAGGGTCTGACTTCCTATGTCCGTGTATACAGAATGCAGACATTCAAGGCGTTTCCTCTGCTCCTTTCTCCTCACTGGAGGGGAGTACAAAAGTTGACCTTACTAACTGGTTTAAGATAAAACCAACAAAGCATAGGAATCAGGAATGTGCAGACCCATATGCACGAATAAAGCTGACAGGCTCATGCGAGACCATAACTCAACCCAGTCAGTGCTCAGTGAAGGGGGAGAAAACTACACTGTTGTATTTGTACAGATGGGAGGGCTGTGTCTTCTTTGGCAGAGGATGATAAGATGGTGGGCAGGAAAAACACAGGCTGCAACAAACCTAACCCTTTAGCTTCTAATTTGGTGCACAGCCTCCACTTCTGAGCAATCACGGTTGCTACGGGCTGCCAGACACCTGCATGGTCTCGATGTGATGACACTTGTACCTGCACGGCTCTCATACTTGACTTCAAAGAGCCTGGAGCTGGGGCCATCCTGCCTACTGCCAGCGCTCTGTTTGTATCAGCACTCACAGTCTCTGAAGACTCACATTCACTTTTGAGAAGATTGACACCTTTGCTTTGTCACACTGCCTCCGCAAAGCCATTACAATCAACAAGGTTGAGGGATTCATTCAATATTCCCCAAGAACAATCAACAGTCTGGTACTAATCATTGAGTGCATTCACTTATCAACTCCACCAGGTGGAGCCAGAAATACCATGAGAGTCTTAAAAAGCCTTTTAGACATGGGATCTGGAAAACTGGTGGCTTTCACAGCTCAAGATAGACATTTGCAGTATTTCATGGTTCACTAAAGCAGTTTTATTTCTTTGTGCATAAGAAATGGTATGTTTTTACACTGTAGTGGTGTCTTGACAGGGTTGAACAAGATGTGCACTTAACAGCTCTGATGAAGGTATTTCAGCGTATGCATGCCTCATTTGGTGTTTAGTACCATAACGCTATAGTTTCAGTGTGCAGGAATAATCCAGGTTTATGACATTTTATCATTAAGCATTCTGCAGTCAACTGAAACATTCAGAAATGGTTTAAAGTATTCAGGGCAGACTCTCAAATTTCCTAAAACAGTCTCTTTGGTGCAGTTTCATTAGCATATGTACCATATGCATCCCAGAGGTGGACTAATTCTGTTATAGTTAACAACATCTGGGAAGATGAGCATTGACAATACTGAATAAATGTGACAACACAAGAGGAACAAAAAGAACTTTTCTGCTTTAACAGCCAATAAATTGTACAACCATAGAAAATCTACTTTCTTGCATGCGGGATTTTATAGTCTTAAGATTTCAGGCACATAATTTGATAATTTGTTATCAACTGTCAAAGCAGACATGCAGCAAAACATGTTAGTTCAAATGACTGCTATGAAGGTTTATGCTGAATGTATTCAATGTTCTTGTCATTCTCAGACAAAGGGCAATTTGCAGGGAGCAAATGCTCTTGATGCTTTGCCCTCTTTTAAACGGTCATTTAAAATGTTTAAACACCTTATTATTCAGTCTCTTATACATCAGACAAGATGCCTCTGTCAATCAACAGTGTGACTACAAATCAAACATGAAACTGCAGGGAAGGTTTCAGCCATGAAAGCTCTATTCAGGTATCAAGAAATTCAAAGCAACGCTCCCAGCTCCATTACAGCCTGGTACCTTTGTTACATGCCAAATCCTTACCTGTAGTTATTTTCTGCTTTAAAAGGCACTGCTGCTATTTAGCACTTGTGTAACATACATACAATGTCCAATCATCACGCACCAATTTTACCCTTTCCATTGAAAGCAGAGACATCTGTCATACATTAGACTCTGCTCTATACAGTAGTTTGTATCCGCAGTGTGTTTAATTCCGAAGTGTCACAAACCTACAGAGGCAAATATACAATCGATGTCATCACGGCTGTCAGAGCCAGAGGTCTCAGACGTCGCCTTACATGTAGACCTCTTCCTATGGTCGTCCACCGACAGTCCAGACACTGATAACTCAGTGCTCTTCCTTTGTCTCTCCACCTGTTTCTTTTTCGCACCAGTTCTGACTGTTGAGGACTTAAATCGACTCCTGAGTGACTGCAAACGAGTTCTCAGGCCAGCACGTCTCCCTGTTGCGGTAGAAGACCGACAGGTTATTGGCACTGATGCCTGAGGAGATGAAGCCCAGCAAGCTTCCTGTCTGAAGGTCGGCAGCTTCCTCTGGACACTGGGGATAAAGACAAATTTTATCAATATGCACGACTAGTATTAGGAGCAACTTTGTTTCACAATATGCAAGGATGCAGCTCCACACATAGTGGCCTCTTTATAAAGTACACCTGTACAGTAATGCGATCCAATACAACTGTTCTGCCAAAAAGCCTACTTTTATGATGCTTATCATGTTCAGAGTTTTGACACTGTCATAGAAGTAATACCTAGTGGTTTACTTGCATTGGTCTAAAAGCTGTACCCTAACAAAGTAGACACTAAGTGTATGGTGAAGATTCTCACTCAGCCAAGTCATGGTGCTATATTCATCATCATAAGTGCTATATTGTAGGCAATTGGACTTGCTTGAGTTTCTTGAAGATGTTTCGCCTCTCATCTAAGAGACTTCTTCAGGTCTGAGAATAGTTCTACGATATAACACTTATGACACTGAGTGTATATTCTGCAGTGCTGCTCTTACTTGTAACCCTCTGCCTCCAGGCATTTCAGCCTCTGGCACTTTAAACGCAGGAAGGTTAAACGACGTCTTTCCCTGTTCATCTTCTGGGATTTACACCATGGAATCATCTCATCCAGATGGGTTGCCATGTCTTTGAAAGAAGCAGCCTCTCTCACTTGTTTCTTGAACTTATGTATCTTGTCCAGCTTGTGTGTTCTCTGTGCGACGGATTTGCCCTGGGGTAATGAAATTATGTAATCATTGGATGATTATGTGACAACACCTTGCAATTACATAATCCATAAAATCCAAAAATCAATAATGAATGAATATTTAATCAGGTTTGCTCACATACCTTGGTAAAGTTCCTGACAACCTTGAGAAAAGGCTTCATGTCAATGACGAGACTTATAACACCTGAAAAAAGACAAAAATTACAACAGTAATGTTAACACTGTTGTTACATGGTTCACTCCTAGAGGCTAAATGAGATTGTTTGAAAATGCAGCACTGGTTGAAACAGCTTTGCTTTTTATGGCAAATCCCATCAGGCTACATTGAATATTATTTTGTGAACTATCAGTGGCTGGCAGACTGACTGATCTGTCAACCCGAACAAGAGTTTTCAGAGCTGCAGTTTACTGAACCCCTGTCACTCCTCGACTGTGGAAGAATGTGTCCTTTAGGGCAGCGTCATCTTACTGTCCTGCACTAAATGCGCCATATGGAATACAGAATACACACTAAAGAATGAAAATGTTCCATACCTCTGTCAACAGCGACACCCAGATCTTCTTTAACCTTCCTTGTCTCTCCTTGTTTTTTGACCTTCACAGGAAGTTTCTTCCTCTTCCCCTGCTGCTGCTTCTCCTTGTGGTCTTTGGCATGGGGACCGTGTGCTGTTTTTTTGGGCAGTACATATGCATCAGAAGGACCCAGGAACTGAGCCATATCTGCTGGCAGGGAGAAGTCTGTGAGGAAGGGCATGGGATGGGCTTTGGCTACTTCTCTAAGGAGCTCCAGGAGCTGCTGATACAAAGTGGACAGGCTGACCAGGATACCACGGGCAATCACCCTGATGGAACACAGAGGCAGGTAGATTTAGCTTTGTGGAAATTATTTCCAAACAAACACACATCAAACTATTGGAAATACTGATGTTTTTTCTCTAAATATTGCTGCAATTTGGAGCCACAGACATGCAAAGCTGCCTTGTGACAATGAGAAAAAGCACTCACCAGAGACGACTGAGCATGCTGGTTATCACCATATTCAAGACAATAAACTGCCCCACGTTCATATGCTGCCTGGAAAGTCTGATGCAAATATCTCTTAAGGGCAAACCCACAAGGTGAATTCAAGTAAACAAAGACTGTTTCAAAACAAATATCAGGATCCTTGGAAATTTCTGTCAGAATACGCTCCATGTTTCTGAACACTGCCACTTCTGAAAAGGATACAAAAACGCTCTGCTGCAGCGTCTTAATGTGCAGCTCATTAGCTGGGCGCCTCCCAGTACTTTGAGACAGAGCCACTCCAGCATTGCTTGACTGGGGATGTCACACTCACCAGCCTCCATGCTCAGTTTTCTAAACAAACGCAGACACACACACACACACACACACACACACACACACACACACACACACACACACATCATTACAGTGACTACACAGATAATTCAACCACATTTCACTGAATGTATCACTGCTGTAATGTGTGCATACAAGAATGTGACAGCACATCACACTGAACCGATAAAGCTTTCTATCTACCTTTGAATTCTGTTGGGACAAATCTCTGTCAGCTCCTGGAGAGCAGCATCAAGCTTCATGCATTTCAGCTTGTTAATGCACTGTTCAACCTGTGAGGGATAAGCCAAAATATGTAACATGCAAATGACACATAGTCATCAGTGAGTTAAATCTATAGTTTTATTAGAAAACAGTCACACATCCTTTAGAGGCCAGATGCAGACGTGACCCTCAGTCCTCACCTGCTTTAAGGCGCTGAACGTCTTGTTGCATCTATAGCTGTTATTCAAAATGTACAACAGCTCGTAGAGAACTCGTATATCCGTTTGAAGGGTCTCACTCCCAACAAGCTTACGGACCTACTCATTTTCCGCCAACAGAGCTTTAACACTTGCTTCTGCACAACAGCAACAACACTTAAACATGTCAGTTTATGCAATGATAATCATAAAGTACACCATCAATACTGCTGAGTTCAGATCCATGCCCTCCCACGTGGGTTGCAGGCAGCATATACAGTGTATTTAGCGCAGTTGTGCCCCAGACATCACGTTACAAAGTCAACATATGTATCCAATTAGCATCCGACCAATGAAACGTACCTGTAGATGAACTGAACGGTATTCGGACAACAGAAACGGCACTGGGAAATGCAATGTTTACCCTGTTCCATGGCTCTGAAGCCATGTTGCCCTGCAAAAAAAAAAAAAAATATGCGGAAGTCAGTCAGCCAATTGTATGCGACTAAATGTAAACGTCAGAGTTCGTCTTAAAGGGACAGTACTCTCAGTGAGGTTGCTATCTCACAGTAGTGATGAGATAGCCTCGTCTCAACCAAGCAGTCCGGTTCAGTTCAGTTCAGCTCGGAATACATGAGAAACGTTATTTTCCGTTTACATGGTGAAATGTTATGGATGGTACCAATAGAGCAGTTCCTTACTGGCCCCATTTTTCGTCACTCCCCACGTTGTGACAACGTCTTTTAGACGTCATGGTCCGACGTAGAAATGACGTTTCCATCGGGTGCAGAATGAAAGTTTTTACAACGTCTTTTTTGGACTCCTTCTGGACGTCTAGTTTTGACGGCTACAGGGCGTCTGTACAAGGTTACAATATGGTCCAGAAATGGTTGGTATGGATGTCCTCTCGACGTCTTATATGGACCAAATTTGAACATAATTTTTATGTACAAAAATATTTAAAATATTGGCCAAATTATGGTCCATTTACAACCTTGTTTTCCAATGAAAATATTCAGTACAGCATTCAAAAAACACTTCAATTGCTGTCTTCCATTGTGAGAACATACAAATACCATTATCTAGGGTGTATTGTAATGTGTATATATAATGCCTTGTGTATGTCCCCCTTGTCCCTATTTTTCCATGAAAAAGTCCAACGTATTTCATTCAAAATACACTTTATTATTGTCTCTCACAAATTCAAATCTCTCACAAATCACAAATTCAACTTATTTTGCCTATGTTTAATGTTGTGTATGTTTAATGTTATCTTGTGTATGTTTAATATGTTTTTTCTGGATGGAGCATGCTTAAGGTGTTCCCCAGCATGTTTGCGGACAGCATCCTCAGTCCCCTCTTTAAATGTTTTCAGTACAGCCCCTGAAAAAGTTGGAAGACAAAATATGTTTTCTCATGGTATGATACTTAATTTCAACACTAGGCGGCGCTGCTGTCAAAGCAGCTTCTCGATACTGACAAAAAAAATAATAAAATAAAAATTAACAAAATTAATTTTCACCCATTTAGAAATTAGATATTTAAAAACTGATTACACAAGTGTGTTTACCATTCCCTTAAAGTCCACAGTGTACTGTCAATTCAATATATACAACTCCCAAATCTAGGAAAAACGTGGCATGGTTGTCGGTGCCAGACAGGCTGGTGTGAGTATTTCAGAAACTGCTGATCTACTGGGATTTCCACACAAACCATCTCTAGGGTTTACAGAGAATGGTCCGAAAAAGAAGAAAATATCCAGTGAGCAGCAGTTCTCTGGGTGAAAATGCTTTGTTGATGCCAGAGGTCAGAGGAGAATGGCCAGACTGGTTCAAGATGATAGAAAGGCAACAGTAACTCAAATAACCACTGGTTACAATCAAGGTCTGCAGAAGACCATCTCTGAACCAACAACATGTCGAACCTTGAAGCAGATGGGCTACAGCAGCAGAAGACCACACTGGGTGCCACTCCTGTCAGCTAACAACAGGAAACTGAGGCTACAATTCACACAGGCTCACCAAAAATTGACAATAGAAACGTTGCCTGGTCTGATGAGCCTCGATNTTAAACGGTCATTTAAAATGTTTAAACACCTTATTATTCAGTCTCTTATACATCAGACAAGATGCCTCTGTCAATCAACAGTGTGACTACAAATCTAACATGAAACTGCAGGGAAGGTTTCAGCCATGAAAGTTTTATTCATGTATCACTGTTTACCCATCGCGGCAGAAGACCTTTGTCTCTCCACCTGTTTCTTTTTCGCACCAGTTCTGACTCATTTAGGACTTAAATCGACTCCTGAGTGACTGCAAACAAGTTCTCAGGCCAGCACGTTTACCCATCGCGGCGGAAGACCGACAACTTCTTGGCATTGGTCCTTGAGGAGATGAAGCCCAGCAAACTTCCCATCTGAAGGTTGGCAGCTTCCTCTGGACACTGGGGATAAAGGCATTTTTTTATCAATATGCATGACTACTATTAGGAGCAACTTTGTCACACAATACTAAAGGATGCAGCTCTACACATAGTGGTTTATAAAGGTACACCTGTACAGTAATGCGATCCAATACAACTGTTCTGCCAAAAAGCCTACTTTTATGATGCTTATCATGTTCAGAGTTTTGACACTGTCATAGAAGTAATACCTAGTGGTTTACTTGCATTGGTCTAAAAGCTGTACCCTAATAAAGTAGACACTAAGTGTATGGTGAAGATTCTCACTCAGCCAGGTCATGGTCATCATAAGTGCTATATCATAGGCAACTGGACTGGAGTTTCTTGCAGACATTTCGCCTCTCACCCAAGAGGCTTCTTCAGGTCTGAGAACTGAGAATAGTTCTACGATATAACACTTATGACACTGAGGGCCAAATTCACAAAGAATGAACTGCGGCCACTGATAGCACCTTGAATTGCACTTCATTTGCACCCGCAGTTTGTTCCGTCATAATGTCCTATTCACAAAGGATATTGCGCTAATGATTTGCCAGCGCTAACACGCCCACAAAGTTTGGCAGCTGAGTGCAGATTGCCCCTGATTGCAATAAGCCACACATGGTAAAGTATAAATGCTGGCTTTGCGCCAAGAACACCGTGGCAGAACAATGGCAGACTTTGTTTGGTCATGTAGTGATGTCTGCTGATGAGTCAGTCTAACAGTGTTGGATGGGGTGAGGCTGTGGATTTGACCAAGTCTGACCACTTTATCACTATTCCCTCTCACTTGTAGCTGTTTTTTCGTTATCTTTTGAATTTAATATCAATTATGGAACCGTTTTTGTTCACGTTTGTTTCCCTCGTTTTGTAAAATAAATGATTGAAAGTTACTTTTGAAGTGCGTGACAGAAGTGTGTTTTGAGAACAACCGCAGACTGTCACCTGTTCAACGCATCAGTATCTTCGGATGCCATTAAAATAATAATGATTATAATAATAATGTCAAAATATAATTTACAGACTGATTTAACAGACTATCACTGCTGCCACGATCACTGGAAAGTCTGGGCGAGAGGCTTCCACAGAGGAGCGCCCAGTTTACACCAGCTTTCTAAAGACGTTATTTACTTCACTCAAACTGCGTGTGGCTATTAGCGCTGGCATTAGTGAATTAGACGTTGTTTATCAATAAGGCTAATTTGCATAGAAATGGGCAATTTTTCCGCCAAATATATGCATATTACCTCATTTAAATATGTGCAAATAACACCGGAGCACCGAGATGCAATCTGCTTGGCAGTGCAGTTAGTGGAGCATTTCACCCTCTGCGCGTGCTTTGTGAATTAGACGGTATCTGTTGGCTCCATTTTTATCGGTTTAGCGGCCGCAAAAGCCACGCAATCCTTTTGTGAATTCGGCCCTGAGTGTATATTCTGCAGTGCTGCTCTTACTTGTAACCCTCTGCCTCCAGGCATTTCAGCCTCTGGCACTTTAAACGCAGGAAGGTTAAACGATGTCTTTCCCTGTTCATCTTCTGGGATTTACACCATGGAATCATCTCATCCAGATGGGTTGCCATGTCTTTGAAAGAAGCAGCCTCTCTCACTTGTTTCTTGAACTTCTGTATCTTGTCCAGCTTGTGTGTTCTCTGTGCGACGGATTTGCCCTGGGGTAATGAAATTATGTAATCATTGGATGATTATGTGACAACACCTTGCAATTACATAATCCATAAAATCCAAAAATCAATAATGAATGAATATTTAATCAGGTTTGCTCACATACCTTGGTAAAGTTCCTGACAACCTTGAGAAAAGGCTTCATGTCAATGTCGAGACTTATAACACCTGAAAAAAGACAAAAATTACAACAGTAATGTTAACACTGTTGTTACATGGTTCACTCCTAGAGGCTAAATGAGATTGTTTGAAAATGCAGCACTGGTTGAAACAGCTTTGCTTTTTATGGCAAATCCCATCAGGCTACATTGAATATTATTTTGTGAACTATCAGTGGCTGGCAGACTGACTGATCTGTCAACCCGAACAAGAGTTTTCAGAGCTGCAGTTTACTGAACCCCTGTCACTCCTCGACTGTGGAAGAATGTGTCCTTTAGGGCAGCGTCATCTTACTGTCCTGCACTAAATGCGCCATATGGAATACAGAATACACACTAAAGAATGAAAATGTTCCATACCTCTGTCAACAGCGACACCCAGATCTTCTTTAACCTTCCTTGTCTCTCCTTGTTTTTTGACCTTCACAGGAAGTTTCTTCCTCTTCCCCTGCTGCTGCTTCTCCTTGTGGTCTTTGGCATGGGGACCGTGTGCTGTTTTTTTGGGCAGTACATATGCATCAGAAGGACCCAGGAACTGAGCCATATCTGCTGGCAGGGAGAAGTCTGTGAGGAAGGGCATGGGATGGGCTTTGGCTACTTCTCTAAGGAGCTCCAGGAGCTGCTGATACAAAGTGGACAGGCTGACCAGGATACCACGGGCAATCACCCTGATGGAACACAGAGGCAGGTAGATTTAGCTTTGTGGAAATTATTTCCAAACAAACACACATCAAACTATTGGAAATACTGATGTTTTTTCTCTAAATATTGCTGCAATTTGGAGCCACAGACATGCAAAGCTGCCTTGTGACAATGAGAAAAAGCACTCACCAGAGACGACTGAGCATGCTGGTTATCACCATATTCAAGACAATAAACTGCCCCACGTTCATATGCTGCCTGGAAAGTCTGATGCAAATATCTCTTAAGGGCAAACCCACAAGGTGAATTCAAGTAAACAAAGACTGTTTCAAAACAAATATCAGGATCCTTGGAAATTTCTGTCAGAATACGCTCCATGTTTCTGAACACTGCCACTTCTGAAAAGGATACAAAAACGCTCTGCTGCAGCGTCTTAATGTGCAGCTCATTAGCTGGGCGCCTCCCAGTACTTTGAGACAGAGCCACTCCAGCATTGCTTGACTGGGGATGTCACACTCACCAGCCTCCATGCTCAGTTTTCTAAACAAACGCAGACACACACACACACACACACACACACACACACACACACACATCATTACAGTGACTACACAGATAATTCAACCACATTTCACTGAATGTATCACTGCTGTAATGTGTGCATACAAGAATGTGACAGCACATCACACTGAACCGATAAAGCTTTCTATCTACCTTTGAATTCTGTTGGGACAAATCTCTGTCAGCTCCTGGAGAGCAGCATCAAGCTTCATGCATTTCAGCTTGTTAATGCACTGTTCAACCTGTGAGGGATAAGCCAAAATATGTAACATGCAAATGACACATAGTCATCAGTGAGTTAAATCTGTAGTTTTATTAGAAAACAGTCACACATCCTTTAGAGGCCAGATGCAGACGTGACCCTCAGTCCTCACCTGCTTTAAGGCGCTGAACGTCTTGTTGCGTCTCTGGCTGTTGTTCCTTGTGTACAACAGCTCGTAGAGAACTCGTATTTCCGTTTGAAGGGTCTCACTCCCAACAAGCTTACGGACCTCCTCATTTTCCGCCAACAGAGCTTTAACACTTGCTTCTGCACAACAGCAACAACACTTAAACATGTCAGTTTATGCAATGATAATCATAAAGTACACCATCAATACTGCTGAGTTCAGATCCATGCCCTCCCACGTGGGTTGCAGGCAGCATATACAGTGTATTTAGCGCAGTTGTGCCCCAGACATCACGTTACAAAGTCAACATATGTATCCAATTAGCATCCGACCAATGAAACGTACCTGTAGATGAACTGAACGGTATTCGGACAACAGAAACGGCACTGGGAAATGCAATGTTTACCCTGTTCCATGGCTCTGAAGCCATGTTGCCCTGCAAAAAATAACATGCGGAAGTCAGTCAGCCAATTGTATGCGACTAAATGTAAACGTCAGAGTTCGTCTTAAGGCACAGTACACTCAGCGAAGTTGCTATCTCACAGTATAGACGGTGGGCCGAACGAGTTTTTCATGTTGTTGATCGATCTCCATCGATAGAGTACACAGTTTTTTGTGTGTGATATTAAACAATTCTATAGAGTCCGGGAAAATTTGTTGGCAGCTCTGGTTTGATCATATATTTTCACAAACTTGTATTTTAATTGTCACTCTGCTCAGGCAACTTGCGGGATAACTCTAGCTGATGAACCAATCAGATTGTANGTCTGCTGATGAGTCAGTCTAACAGTGTTGGATGGGGTGAGGCTGTGGATTTGACCAAGTCTGACCACTTTATCACTATTCCCTCTCACTTGTAGCTGTTTTTTCGTTATCTTTTGAATTTAATATCAATTATGGAACCGTTTTTGTTCACGTTTGTTTCCCTCGTTTTGTAAAATAAATGATTGAAAGTTACTTTTGAAGTGCGTGACAGAAGTGTGTTTTGAGAACAACCGCAGACTGTCACCTGTTCAACGCATCAGTATCTTCGGATGCCATTAAAATAATAATGATTATAATAATAATGTCAAAATATAATTTACAGACTGATTTAACAGACTATCACTGCTGCCACGATCACTGGAAAGTCTGGGCGAGAGGCTTCCACAGAGGAGCGCCCAGTTTACACCAGCTTTCTAAAGACGTTATTTACTTCACTCAAACTGCGTGTGGCTATTAGCGCTGGCATTAGTGAATTAGACGTTGTTTATCAATAAGGCTAATTTGCATAGAAATGGGCAATTTTTCCGCCAAATATATGCATATTACCTCATTTAAATATGTGCAAATAACACCGGAGCACCGAGATGCAATCTGCTTGGCAGTGCAGTTAGTGGAGCATTTCACCCTCTGCGCGTGCTTTGTGAATTAGACGGTATCTGTTGGCTCCATTTTTATCGGTTTAGCGGCCGCAAAAGCCACGCAATCCTTTTGTGAATTCGGCCCTGAGTGTATATTCTGCAGTGCTGCTCTTACTTGTAACCCTCTGCCTCCAGGCATTTCAGCCTCTGGCACTTTAAACGCAGGAAGGTTAAACGATGTCTTTCCCTGTTCATCTTCTGGGATTTACACCATGGAATCATCTCATCCAGATGGGTTGCCATGTCTTTGAAAGAAGCAGCCTCTCTCACTTGTTTCTTGAACTTCTGTATCTTGTCCAGCTTGTGTGTTCTCTGTGCGACGGATTTGCCCTGGGGTAATGAAATTATGTAATCATTGGATGATTATGTGACAACACCTTGCAATTACATAATCCATAAAATCCAAAAATCAATAATGAATGAATATTTAATCAGGTTTGCTCACATACCTTGGTAAAGTTCCTGACAACCTTGAGAAAAGGCTTCATGTCAATGTCGAGACTTATAACACCTGAAAAAAGACAAAAATTACAACAGTAATGTTAACACTGTTGTTACATGGTTCACTCCTAGAGGCTAAATGAGATTGTTTGAAAATGCAGCACTGGTTGAAACAGCTTTGCTTTTTATGGCAAATCCCATCAGGCTACATTGAATATTATTTTGTGAACTATCAGTGGCTGGCAGACTGACTGATCTGTCAACCCGAACAAGAGTTTTCAGAGCTGCAGTTTACTGAACCCCTGTCACTCCTCGACTGTGGAAGAATGTGTCCTTTAGGGCAGCGTCATCTTACTGTCCTGCACTAAATGCGCCATATGGAATACAGAATACACACTAAAGAATGAAAATGTTCCATACCTCTGTCAACAGCGACACCCAGATCTTCTTTAACCTTCCTTGTCTCTCCTTGTTTTTTGACCTTCACAGGAAGTTTCTTCCTCTTCCCCTGCTGCTGCTTCTCCTTGTGGTCTTTGGCATGGGGACCGTGTGCTGTTTTTTTGGGCAGTACATATGCATCAGAAGGACCCAGGAACTGAGCCATATCTGCTGGCAGGGAGAAGTCTGTGAGGAAGGGCATGGGATGGGCTTTGGCTACTTCTCTAAGGAGCTCCAGGAGCTGCTGATACAAAGTGGACAGGCTGACCAGGATACCACGGGCAATCACCCTGATGGAACACAGAGGCAGGTAGATTTAGCTTTGTGGAAATTATTTCCAAACAAACACACATCAAACTATTGGAAATACTGATGTTTTTTCTCTAAATATTGCTGCAATTTGGAGCCACAGACATGCAAAGCTGCCTTGTGACAATGAGAAAAAGCACTCACCAGAGACGACTGAGCATGCTGGTTATCACCATATTCAAGACAATAAACTGCCCCACGTTCATATGCTGCCTGGAAAGTCTGATGCAAATATCTCTTAAGGGCAAACCCACAAGGTGAATTCAAGTAAACAAAGACTGTTTCAAAACAAATATCAGGATCCTTGGAAATTTCTGTCAGAATACGCTCCATGTTTCTGAACACTGCCACTTCTGAAAAGGATACAAAAACGCTCTGCTGCAGCGTCTTAATGTGCAGCTCATTAGCTGGGCGCCTCCCAGTACTTTGAGACAGAGCCACTCCAGCATTGCTTGACTGGGGATGTCACACTCACCAGCCTCCATGCTCAGTTTTCTAAACAAACGCAGACACACACACACACACACACACACACACACACACACACACATCATTACAGTGACTACACAGATAATTCAACCACATTTCACTGAATGTATCACTGCTGTAATGTGTGCATACAAGAATGTGACAGCACATCACACTGAACCGATAAAGCTTTCTATCTACCTTTGAATTCTGTTGGGACAAATCTCTGTCAGCTCCTGGAGAGCAGCATCAAGCTTCATGCATTTCAGCTTGTTAATGCACTGTTCAACCTGTGAGGGATAAGCCAAAATATGTAACATGCAAATGACACATAGTCATCAGTGAGTTAAATCTGTAGTTTTATTAGAAAACAGTCACACATCCTTTAGAGGCCAGATGCAGACGTGACCCTCAGTCCTCACCTGCTTTAAGGCGCTGAACGTCTTGTTGCGTCTCTGGCTGTTGTTCCTTGTGTACAACAGCTCGTAGAGAACTCGTATTTCCGTTTGAAGGGTCTCACTCCCAACAAGCTTACGGACCTCCTCATTTTCCGCCAACAGAGCTTTAACACTTGCTTCTGCACAACAGCAACAACACTTAAACATGTCAGTTTATGCAATGATAATCATAAAGTACACCATCAATACTGCTGAGTTCAGATCCATGCCCTCCCACGTGGGTTGCAGGCAGCATATACAGTGTATTTAGCGCAGTTGTGCCCCAGACATCACGTTACAAAGTCAACATATGTATCCAATTAGCATCCGACCAATGAAACGTACCTGTAGATGAACTGAACGGTATTCGGACAACAGAAACGGCACTGGGAAATGCAATGTTTACCCTGTTCCATGGCTCTGAAGCCATGTTGCCCTGCAAAAAATAACATGCGGAAGTCAGTCAGCCAATTGTATGCGACTAAATGTAAACGTCAGAGTTCGTCTTAAGGCACAGTACACTCAGCGAAGTTGCTATCTCACAGTATAGACGGTGGGCCGAACGAGTTTTTCATGTTGTTGATCGATCTCCATCGATAGAGTACACAGTTTTTTGTGTGTGATATTAAACAATTCTATAGAGTCCGGGAAAATTTGTTGGCAGCTCTGGTTTGATCATATATTTTCACAAACTTGTATTTTAATTGTCACTCTGCTCAGGCAACTTGCGGGATAACTCTAGCTGATGAACCAATCAGATTGTA